TCATCAAGAAAAAACACTAAACGTTCCCAAAGTTTGAGGGTATAAAGACGAAGACAAGAGTACAAAACAATGGAAGAGTACTCGAAATGCAAAGGATATCTATCTAACATCCACCTACAAAAACTACTGACAGCTACTGCTGTTGAATACCGCATCATCCCAGCACATCAATGATGATACCTTTGAAATAATAAAAAGATGGCTTTTAGCCAAAATTGAGTCATTCGTGCTCAACTGTCAGACTAAGATTCGTTTTAGATGGGTGGCTTTCACTGATTAATACAATGTTAGCAGATATTATAAGTTTACGTAATATGTTCTAGCTCGAAATAGGTTAATCAGGAAAACTGTGCAGAATTAATCAGTTTTCAATAGCTCAAATATATAATAGTGGAAGGAAGAAAACTAAATAACTTGTGCACGATTCTAAAGGCTGAAAGGCTTTTGCACAAATAAGCTTTTACGAACGTGGTCACGTTATCCACCGTTTTTCGATGAGCAGATTATACATATTTTTATGGTGATTTGCATTTCTGAAAGCTCACTTGCCTCCAAATCAGGAACTCGAACAAACGTGGAAGGAAGAAAACTAAATAACTTGTGCACGATTCTAAAGGTTATGGTAGAAGTCTCCTCGGTGCTTTCAGCTCAGCAAAAACGAATACATTAAATATTGCTGTAAAGCCTTATTTTAGTAATATTTTCGCGAGAAGACATGGACTTATTTTAGTAATATTTTTGCGAGAGGACTTAGGGAATATTTGTAAGATATAACATTTTAACTGCTACTATGACATTCGAAAAAGTGAATCAAAAACGTAGGTATAGATTTCCTTAAAAAAACATTAATGAACAAGCATGATTCGAAAGTGAGTTAGTCGATTTTTACAAGAAAAACCATAGACAATAGAAACACTTCTGCAGATATTTGAGAATTCCTGGAACAAAGTACTTCAACTAACATATCTCAGATGGTGAGCGCATGTGCCGCACTGGTTAAGGTGCTCCGCGTCGCACACAAGGTCGATAGTTCGATCTCGCGCTCATAGCTCACCAAGCTTTGTGCGGGTTCGGTAAATTGGCACCGGACTGGTCTCAGACCTCCCTGAGAGGATAAGCTGAACTGACTCAATACAGCGGCAGGTCACCGCGAGCCATATAAAGGCCAGATATGCATTCAATCACATCAAACGACGATAAGAATTGAAAACGAATGCATATGCATGGCGCATCGTTCAGAGATTGATCAACGCCAAAAGCTTTATCTTTTTTATCCGTCATAGCAGATGGTATGTGTATATACTTGATTCCATAAACGAACGACATGTACATCAAAGTATATATTTTTCTTTAAGCGGTTACAATCTTTCTACCACTCTATATATCTATATATATACATTCATCTAATTGCTAATCGGAAGCAAATAAAACAAGAGGAGTCAGAGAAGGAAAGACGGTTTTTTTCGGTTCTCGGATAGGCGCTTTTGAAGAAATCTCTTTTACTGGGCAAACACTTTCTGTTAGACTGTCAGTAAATGAACAATGTATTTTGAAGTCTTCATGAAGTCTGTTAATGGGTACTTTTACAGTGCAAGACATATGTTTCGGCCTTACAGCCTCGTCAGGATGCACGGTCCTAAAAGAGTCGATTGCAACGTTTGTCACATTTCCCCACGTATCAGCCATATTCCATGCAATCGACAACCTATTACTCTGATAGAACGCCACGGCGACTGTTCCACCTTAGGTAGAGTGTTAAAAGTTTGTCGTCGATTTCGCTTTATTGTGGTAGCTCTCCGGGGAACTGATTGAGCAAAGACGAGGTTGTAAGGCCGAAACACGTGTCTTGTACTGTATAAGTACCCGATAACAAATCTCATAAAAGGCTTATATACCTTGCCAGATTATATTGGTATATAACAATTGGAAATATGTTCATTTTCAGAAGGTGTACCTTTCTGACTGAAACATAAGAGAATTTTTGACTGATAGGCGTTGTACGCTAAAGATTTCCTTATCAAGGTCGTTCAGATGACGTTCTAAATTTCATGATGACATTGTCTCCTCTCAACCTCAATTTGCTATATAGATTCTTCCGATTCAGTTGTGACCTACGCCAACACAAAATCGCAGGAGATGCGACGCCGTTTTACAATAGTTGAATGAGGCCGACATCTGGCGGCGTGCTACAGAATGTAGCTCGTCGGCGTGAAAGGGCTAACAATTGGTTAGTTCCCATTCAAGAAGGGGACCATTTTCAGCTGGTATGGCACTTGAACGCGACTGTAGTGTTCAAAAGCATACATATCATCGCTTGACACTCTCAGACGGCACGTTAATCCATTCAGCGCTTTTGAGACAGCATTCCAGTGGTCAGTTCTTGAAAATGAAGGAAGAAAAAGTAGGATTTCCAGGTATGTGGATTCAGCCACTTTGATTATTTACTCATTAGGCAAGTCGCAGAAAACGAACTAACCACTGAATTTGAACACTGCTCAATCGTGATAGACACCAATGGGTCCGTGGCATCTGAAACGTATCAACGAATCTCGTTATGTTTTAGCAGGAAATCTACGACATTTTCTATTGACTTTGAATATTCTCCCATCCTATACGATACCACAAAGTAATCATATTAAAGGAAGAACAAAAGCCAATGAACTGATTGCTAAAGATGATACCAAACTGCGCCAAGTCGTCGTCACAGACGTATCTGAACGCCTTTTGCTCCTCGTAATACCCTAGGCAACTCTCTCTTTCCAAAGAAAAACTTTGTCACCGCAAAATTACTTTAGGTGATACAATGTACTAGAAAAGGTTTTCTATGTACTAGTCGTAGCACAGAATATAGAATGCGCATTCTGCAAACTAGCAAGTCTACAATAAGTCTAAAGTGTGTACGGCGCGAGGCCACTGACTAGAGTGTCCGTGCATGGGTATGCACGGCATCCGAAGCAAGCACGCACGCGTACGTACGGAACTACGCACTTCGTCCCGAAAGTGCTGTCCTTGATTTAGTCGCTTTGTTGGATCAAGGATATTGTATGGAGTGGGCGAGCATAGGAATTGCTGGATCAGGCCCAAGGAAGGCTGTCAACCCCTTAATTGCTGACAGTAATTGTGTTTGCTCATGATAGACCGCAATAGTAATTGTAGTTGCAGTAGCAAGCAATAACATCGTATCCTTAACATCTATCGAGCGATACAGCAGTCTTCTTCTACAGCCTAGCCATATTCACCGTCCTCGAGTTCTTTGGTTATCAAAAAACTATTGTTTGCTTTCTAATTCCTTCTTTTAATCTACTGTTACTCAAAAGCTCAAAAAGGAAACTTTCATATATACTCTCTGAGAACGTTTTTAGGCGTTCTATTGAGATTGGATCCCACTTGAGGAGCTCCTTTTTGTTATGAAAATCATGGAATGCTTGTCGAGACGATTATCCCTATAATCCTATGTGCTCCCAGGCCAAGGCGTTCGTTGACTTATTGAGAGAAAATGGTGCTTAGAGTGGAACCAATACTTCACTTTCTAACAAACTGCATCAATATCACTGGCTATGCCGACCCCAAAACAATTATTTATTTCAAAGAAGCAAGTCCGTGTAGGCTGAATTTTAGGCGTGATCACTAACTGGTGTTGGCGACGGCTTGCAATAGCGCAACACCCAGCTGGTGCGTGTTTTCGCTCCCAGAAGCTCTTCTAGTTGTGACGTCAAATGATACATCATCAATGATGAAGTCTTCAGAAGCTGAGATTCGTGACCTACTCGGCGATCAATGGAGAGTCAGAAAGAAAGAATTCTGAAGTGGTTAGGGTTTAATCACTCAGATCGCATACGTGACAGCTATGAATATATATAGAAGTAATAGGAGAATAAGAGCTGCGCTTATGCAGTGGCTAGCATACGGTCCCGGAAAGAGGAACGCACGTTCAAACCCCAGCTAAAGGTCATTTTTTTAGGGCACTTTATTCATCCGTTTTCACAGCTTTTTTTGTCACTGTGCGGATCCCAGTACTTCTACCATTCAGTTCGTTGTTTCGTCTGCACTTAAAGTTCGTAGAATATTGGTTTAGAGAGTCTCCTTGCAGATAGATAACATAGCTGTGGCGTTCCAAAAAGCCGCTGATGTTGACTGCAAGAGAGAGTCGAGGGATGGAGCTCGGCTCCACGCTCGCCTCGACGTCGACGCATCACAACCACTCGGCCACGGCGCTTCCGTCTTCAGTTCAAAGTTTTGCATTTTACTTAAGATCATTGGATGCGTATTTATATCATCGTAACTGCTAGCGGTGATTTAGAAGAATCTTCGTGGTTGTGAGAATACTTGTGGTAGTTGACCACTCGAATCCACTTTGTCTATTTAGACTGGCGCTACTCTTTAGATTTCTGTATTCTCCATACTTTGAGGACGTCGGCAGTATAATTGGCATGATGTTACAAATATTCATCTAAGCATACTGAGTAATACATAAAACAATCGACATCAGGCCGGAGTTGAAACCGAGTTTCGCGCATAACTGGCACGCATGCTACCATTACGCCACAGATACCACCGCTCCGCTAGCACTCTTTTTTCGTCGAGAGTTTTGAGACCTACTCGAGTATGGTGTCTATACAAGACCTCAAATCAAAATAGTAGTGTTTTGTTGAGTTTTCTCCCTCCAATTTGCAAGATTTAATCGGTGTCGAGAGATATGAAAATTAAATCTTTCTCTAGATGTATCCAGTGATATAGAGTGATGTGCAAAACTTCTTGCCTCAGCCGGGACTCGAACCCACATCACACTTTATGTCGAAGCGCGCGCTTTAACCCGCTGCACTACTGGCGCCCGTTTCACCATCACTCTTTTACGCTACAACGCTTCGATCTGTCAACAACCAACCGTCAACAGTTTGGCTCAGGTAGTAGATATCGACATCGAAATCCAGTCACGCTGACTGATATTGGGTGTAGGATGATCTTGGGTGATTAAATGAAACTGTGTTGGCAAAATGGGAGTCAGTAGTGCAATGGGTGCACGCGTTCCCAGACAAAGTAAGGTGTGGGTTCGAGTCCCGCCTGAGGCAAAAACTTTTGCGTATCGCTCTACATCACTGTATATAAAAAACTATCATTACAGTGTCATTTATCTGTATATGATGTAGCTGAACTAAGGACAATCTCAATATCTCACTTCAATTAATTTTGATCCTGGTTTGTAGATCAAAGCGAGCGTAGATCAAATCTCACGGCAGGCCCCTCTCATAAATCAATCGATTTCACCTGATCGCTAGCTATTCACTACATAGCGCCGCTTTCGGGGGCGATTTACCAACGAACGAACCAATGAGGAAAGCCATGGCATTTCATCGGCGTTATCACGAGATCGAAGGCAGTCACTCAGCGTTCGAGTCGGCGGTTGGGATGGCTCCCCTTGGAAGGCTTGACGAGCCCCGACAAATAAAAGACCTTCTTGTATCTGTCGGCGGCCTTATTTCGGGGTTTTTGATTGTTTGATTAGCCATTCGACGATGTCTATTGATGTCGACCGCTGCTATGACCGGAGGTATTTTCATATTTTCTTGTCGATTAGACTCGTCACGCCGGGTCAACGCGTCATAGGGTCTGGAAACCCCCTGTTCGTACCATCACCCATGCGGGTTTTTCTTTGGGGTTTCCGGCTTGCTCTCGACTAATGATTTTCTTATCTGCTATCGGAGTCAATCAAATTTGTAGATGGTGTTTGCCTTTTCCATCACCACGGCGTCGATGATTCATCGGAAATTCTCAATTACTCCTTCTTATCTGCCGCCTTACTGAGGAAATCGTGCTCGCAGAAATCTGCCTGATTTAAACTGGAATTCAACTGTAATCAGTTGATACGCAGTGGCGGGAAAACCATGCCATTTCAAATCAGTGCAGTTGCATTATTATTTTTATTTTTCATTTGTAATAACCTTTTTTTTATTCTCAGTTTTTGATGTTCCATTATTTTTGATTTCTAAGACCACGACTATATCGGCATCGATCGACGCTCCACAGCTCTTTCCATTGATAAGCCAGATATCGAAGTGGTGCAACGGTGGTGCAACGGTTATCATACGCTCCCGGAAAGAGTGAGATCTGGGTTCGAATCCCGGCTGGCGCAAATCTTTTTGCACAGCGCTCCACATTATTGGGTATATTACAAGATCATACCACCGCAAGTGGCGGTCAGATTAAAAGAATTCCGATTGAAAATTCGAGTTTTTTATGAAATCAGTCTTAATTCTTTTTATTTTGATTGCCACTTGCAGTGGTATGATGTTATAATATACCCAATATGTGGAGTACTGTGCAAAAACGTTTGCGTCGGCCGGGATTCGAACCCATATCTCACTCTTTCCGGGAGCGTATGATAACCATTGCCCTACCGACGCTCCACATATTTTTATGAAATGATTTATTGAGTCACCTGTCGTTTTAGCAATTCATCCTAATATTTTTTTGTTACAAAGTTTTTCTACAGTGATATACATATGATTTTACCATAGCAACCCGTGGCCTATTGAAAAAAAAAGTAAGTCACTGCTGGGCTTCAATTTGTTTTTTTCCCTGCACCGCATCCATCGAGGTAATGAGCGCATGTGGCGCAGTGGTAAGAGGTGCTCTGAGTGGTACACGAGGTCGTTGGTTCGATCTCGTGCTCATGCCCATACTCAATCAAAATCTTCAGACTGCATCAGAATATGTTCAGTATCCTTCCAATTATGGAAATATCTGTATAGACCCAATAATGTGCAGTGCTGTGCAAAAACATTTGCGTCAGCCGCGATTCGAAACCAGATCTCACTCTTGATGACTGATAACGCGTTAGCGTAAAAAGAGTGCTGTACATAACGAGCGTCGGTGGTGCAATGGTTAGCATACGCTCCCAAAAAGAGTGAGACTTGGGTTTGAATCCCGGCTGACGCAAATGTTTTTGCACAGCACACCACATTATTGGGTATATTACCAGATCATACCACCGCAAGAAGCGGTCAAATAAATAAATCCCTATCGATTATCTGGATAGATTTTCTAACAAGTAACAATTCAGAACAACTTTACAGGACCTACGTCTCTAGATTGAAAATCTGTCCTTTGAGGAGTTTGTAGGGTTTCTAATTCCGTAGTTGCTCTACCCATAGAGCACATATAGCGCAGTGGTTAGAGGTTTTCTACGTCGCACACAAGGTTAGTGGTTCGATCTGGGCTCAGGGATTCGGGTTCGCTCATGGCTCACACCAAGCCATCCATCCCTCCAGTTTCGCTAAATTGGTACTAGAACCATCTCCTCAAACGAAATTCAAAAAAAAAAAACTGAAGACGAATGCATGGCGCGTCCCTCAGGGATTGATGGAAGCCGAAAGCTTCATCCTCTTATCTTTTATTTCCACTATCCAGCGTGTAATTTTGGCAATTTTTCCTTCATTTTCAAAAAATAAAAAATAATAGGTGGAGAAAATCTGGAAATCTACAAAGTTTTTATTGCATTTAGTTAAACGTCTCTATTCAAGAGAGTTCATCACTCTCTTTTGATCTAAATTTTTTTAATGGGTAGTTCTTATCATTTTCTTTGGTCCGTTTATAAATTCGGTATATTTTATATTGATATTTATATTCTGTATTTTATATTTATTTATATTTATTATACGTTTTATATTCATATTATATTATTGTTATACATTTTATATTTATTTATTTATTTACTATTTTTTTTTATTTATACAATATTTATATATTAAATTCCAATTTTGGAGTGTTTTATCGATCGAAAGAACGATGTTTGAACCTAGATCTTTCTCTGCTTTTTGAAAAAGATACTTCAGTAATAAGGCGTGCTTTATTCCGGCTACTTTAAGTGTGCGTTATCCAAAAGACTACTAGTTATAAGTGTACATCTAAGAATACTGAGTAGTATGTAAAACAATCAACCCTAGGGGGGAGTCGAACCCGCGGTTCACCTATTCCGAGGGACGCGTGGTGTCACTACGCCATCAAAGTCATCGCATCGCATTACTCTTTCTTTGACACAAACCATCGTTGCAGTCAGCAACTCCTCCTCCAACTGATTTGGTTTGGTATTTATGCATATTCGATAGCTGTCACCTTACTAGGTTTCATATCGAAGAAATAGTGGTAACAAAGCGGCCTCCTCGGAGTAGCAGTGGTAGCATGCGCCCCGCTATTGAAGGAACGCGGGTTCAATTCCGCGTCGGGTCGAGTTTTTGCATGTCATTCAACATGCTTAGATGTATAATTAAATTATTGTAACACTTCTAAAAGCAGCGAAAATAGAGAAATCGTCGAGACTACTCGCGTTGTTTGATCTACTTCGTCTTTACAATTCTTAGGCAGATTTCCCTCGTTCAGGAGTGATGTGGTCAGCCGGTGAGATCCTCAGGCGGCTAATTCCAAGTTGTTCTTGTGGAGCCGAGTACGATCGCAGATTTTGTGCTCCACATATTCTCCCCTGTTCACATACGTTCTGCCTCATGTGCCTAAGTAAGGACAAGCAGAGGAAAAAACGAAGGTAAATTTCCGGAAATTTTCCTTTTTTTACATCGAATTGTCTCTCCGTGCCAGCTAGTTCCTTTCCATCTAAACCCCTAGACTGGCAAAGAAAATTGATCGCTATTATTCCGAAGTGTTTAGGTGTCCACTGTGTCAAAAGAAGTACTCCAGTTTCATCCTGAATACTGCGTTAGCCGGTACGTGCTCTACTCATTCTATTGCTAGATTAGATTCATTCGTAGATCATCGTTGCCGTTTTTATTTCTTTTTTAGTTCTACTTCTATATGTGGTCATATGTAAACGTTTATAATTGGGAAAACTTCCGAGAAAATTTGAGCAAAACTTGCTCAAAAACCCTTGAGCGCTCAGTTTGGCTTTGCGGCTTTGAGTTATCCCAAAATTTCTTTCGCATCATTGATTTATCCAGTTCTTTTTTCTATTTCAAATCAGTTGCTGCCAGAAAGTTGCGACATGTTGGTGAATGCTCTAGTAGATTGTGCAAGGAGATAGATTACTGGGTCACCAGGTCAGGATATTAGGCCAGATACGCCAGTTTAACCGAAGCCCAGAATCAGTACTTGGAAGATTATGCTCCCGGTTTTCTGGGATTGGCAGGGCATGCTGATTTGGGAACTGCCTGACAGTAAGCAGACAGTCAATACCGACGTCTACGCCGCCGATTGACTCTGGATTTTGACTGCATTGGTTTAGGATAAACGTCCAAAACGACTCATCGTCGTCTTTCTCTAGCATTACGTTCGACCTCATAATGCCGAGATGGCTCCCCCCCCTTTTTTTTTGAGAAACTTTGTCCGATCACGCTACCACACTCACCCTACAGTCCTGATCTTGATCCATCTTATTATCTCTTACGCGCCCTGATGTGGCATCTGCGGGGGAAAAAATTTGAAAATTACAAATAAGCGACCTCAGCGACTTCTTCGATCGCCAGCGTCATTCACTATTTTTGGCGGAAGGCATCCAGCCTTTGTCCAGCAAATGGATGGATATCAATGATCATGATGGTGCTTATTTGTTGATTGGTTGATTAATTGATTTCCTCTAATAAATGAACAACTGATTTAACAAAGGTGTCAAAATGCGAAAGAAATTGTGGGACAACCCTATACTACCGCTGTGGTGGCAAAAATTTTCAAAAAATTTCCGTTAATTTCTATCCCACTAACTTTTAATCCTCGTTATCCAAATATTCATAATAGCATTTTATCATCAGTTCTTTAAAAAATAATTAAATAAGTATATAATACTTCGGATTTATAGAATTTCTACTGCTTTTTTCGCCGTGTTATGATGTTACTTATACTATAACTTACTTATAAGTAACATCATAACACGGCGAAAAAAGCAGTGGAAATTCTGTAATTTCGAAGTATTATATATAACAGTGACTGTCAGCTTAACGGAATTTATGAAGCAAAATCGCATATCCGACCAAACCTGTTAAAGATTGGTGGCTGATAGCTAACATAGAGATGTTGAAGAATGAGTGGTCGGGCAAATGTGCCTCGGTGGTGTAGTGATAGAGCACGCGTCCCGTATAAGATTAAAAGCGGGTTCGATTCCCGCCTGAGGCCGTGTTTTTCCTCACCACTCAATTCTCTTAGTTAAATGATTATATGTCTGCAGAAATGGTCGATCGTATGCGACTACGGCGTGAATGCTTGGAAGAGAAAACGGGAAAATGCGACGAATGCGACTCACGGCGGCCGGTGACGGCGATGAGACGCTGTCTGACTTGTTTTCGTGGGATTAATAAGCACATATCAGCTGGCTTGACATTGGTAATTACAAGTGTCTTTGATGTAATATGGCTTGAAGTTTTTCTTTGGGTAAGGGCTCTCTTATAATTCTAACCTTGAGCTTAAAATGCCTTTTTTCACTCACGATTCAGTCATTTTTTGTTTCTTTCAAGGAACTTTTTTCTCTCAGGATTGTGTGATATGCTTGGAGTGTTGTGTGGGTCGCCATAATGGCCACGACTTCATGGTCCTGTCGTTCACTCCGTCACAGACCTCCGAACGTGAACGAACAATTACACTTCCGACGACTAATGTCGACTCGAAGAGATATTTGCCGTGGAGAGCCATGTCGAAACAAATGAAGATATTCAGACAGGGAAAGATGGCCGATTGCGAGCTCTGCAAAATGTACGGTTATTTATTTGGCTGTATAACTTCTCAGAACAAATTTTTTTCTCAAGCTGAAGTAAGAGCATTTGAGAGTATTCAGTGGTACACAAAAACTCTACCGCAAATGGATGTTGAACCCGCGTTCCATCCTCACCGAGCACGTGCTACCCACTACACTGTCGGGGTCACCGCTTCGTTACCACTCTTTCTTCAGTATGAACTATTGGGGCTATCAGAACAATTCTTAGTTGGGTTTGGTCGGGCAGTTGATATCAAAGAAAGAACGGAAGCAAGGCGATGGTCTCGATGATGTAGTGGTGGTACGCGCCCCTGGCAAGAGTGAAACGCTGGTTCAACTCCGCCTAAGGCCGCGTTTTTGCGCACCACTCAATACTCTCAAAATGTACTTCTGAAATAGAAAGCAGTGAAAATAAAAGAATTTAGGCAACTATGTAGTTCAAAATTTAGTGATCTGCGAATTGGAATGTCTTCTTGTGCTGTTGAGGAAGATCTGGTGTGTGAAACAAGGAGTCCGTTGTACTGTATGTTTGTACATTTGTGACAATCGTTTCTTTATGAGTAGTTTATTTGTTTGTGAAAGTCAATTGTCCTTATTCAGACAATGTTTCGTCATCACTAAGTGAAGATGTCTCTAACAAAAGTAGTATCTCAACACTACTGTCGAACCTTACAAGAAGTGTCTTTGGATCCGGAACATGTGTAACGAAGAGGA